CTAAGGGAGAAAAAGCTGGAACTCCACCCAAGAACTGCCAGAGGTAAAAACTGGGACCACAGAGGAAAGCATCAATTTTTGATCAATTCTGGGGAGCAAACATCCCAGGCAGAGGGACAATCAGGACACACCAACACAGGAAAAGTTCAAGAACCAGGAAACACTGTGCCCACATATAGGAAAATTAGGAGTTTAGCAGTGAAACTAAGGAATTCTATCCGTGGTTATTTAATCACTTTCTGAACACGTGGTGACGGTCTCAGACCTGTCATACTGTTCCATCGTGGGTCGGGACTCTCTGTCCGTGCTCCACTTGGAAATGTAGAGCATGGACGCCTGAACCCCTCAGAACTGTATTTTAAACCACTCACTTATCACAGCCTGCCCGCTCGTCAGGGAGGTGACAGGCTGGGCTGTAAAATCCCATTTAAAGCCCCCACGGTGCTCGCTCCTCCCCCTGCTTTAAACGCTCAGATTCGGGCAGGACCGCCGGCGCTAAAACCACCCCCTGGGAGAACCGTGAGGGCACAGCCGGCCCCTCGCGCCCTGTCACACCCCCGGGCCGCCCCAGATTAACGTGGGCACGGTCGCCGCGGCCCGCGTGGGTGCAGAGCCCGAACGAGCGCCGGGCCGGGCCCCGGGGGTCGCCTGAGGGAGCGCCGTGCGAGCGGCCAGGCCCCGGCCCGCCCCCTCCCGCGCCACCGCCCCCCGCGCGCGGCCCGGCGGGCTGCCCCCGGCCACCACCGCCCTCCCGCGGCCCCGCGGGCTCCCGCGGCGCCCCCGGCGCCCCCCCACGTCGCCCCTCACCCTGGGCCGAGAGCTGCCGGACGCTGTTGACGAACTGCTCCAGGGCCGACGCCATCTTGGCGGCTCCCGCCGCGGCCGCGCGCGCGGGAGGGAGGGGCGGGAGGGAGGGGCGGGGCCGGCGGGGGGGGGGGGGGGGGGGGGGGGGGGGGGGGGGGGGGGGGGGGGGGGGGGGGGGGGGGGGGGGGGGGGGGGGGGGGGGGGGGGGGGGGGGGGGGGGGGGGGGGGGGGGGGGGGGGGGGGGGGGGGGGGGGGGGGGGGGGGGAGAGAGAGAGAGCGGCGCGCGCCGGGAGCCGCCACCGCCGCCCGGCCAATGAGGGGCCGCCGCGGGCACCGCGCGCCGCCCGCCGCCTCTCGCCGCCTCTCGCGAGAGGCGCGGTCGCCGTGGCAACCGCCGGCCCCGCGTCAGGGGGCGCGGGAGGGGCCGTGACTCAGCAGGGCCGGGGGAGGGGAGGTGGTGACGTCATCGGCGTCACCTCCGCGCGACGCGGGGGACCCCCCCCCCCCCTCCCGCGACACGGTGGGCATCGCGACATGGGGACCGACCGTCGCGACAGGGGGGACCCCCCCCACCGCCATGCGCTGAAGTCAGCCTGAGTGCTGGCACTGCACGAGCAGTGCTGATTTAATCCCTCTCGTTCCCCTGGGAACGTGGTGGTTGTCCTCTGATTCCGTGTGATGTCCGCCCAAATATCGGGGACTGGGGTTTGAATCCCGTTGTTTTCCATCCCTCGGGAGCTGCTGCAGGCAGGGAATGTGTCAGTCCTCCTGTATCCATGGAGATGGTGGAAATCGGTGTGGAGATCACGGAATTATAGAGTATCCTGAGCTGGAAGTGTTGAAAATGATACAACCTTTCTAATATTTTTACTGGCTTTAAGGAAACCCTTTAATTAGCTGTTTTAGCTTCAGTGTTAGGCCTTAAATCACTTTTAGCCAGCATACAGCAAAAAAGTTGTCATAAGGCAACTTATGTGAGACGACATCTTGGGAAAAGTACTAAAACTGTAAGTTTTGTTTAAAGGTAACCTTGGTGTGCTTCAATGAATAAAGCCCATTAGAGAAAGATGTGTTGTTGAAACTGGACTTAACTTCTGGAAACAAGGACCTTTTGCAGAAACCAGCAGATAAGGAAGAAGACTAACAAAGGCTCAGTATTTGTGTCAGAAAATCCCCACCATAGGAAAAAGACACTAGAAAGACTAAAAATACAAACTAATTAGCATAAGCAACGAGAGATTAATAACCAATAGTGGATGGAATACTAATTGATGAAAGGGAATTATATAGTTTAGAACCAATGAACATTAACTTGTTAAAAACGTGTAAACAGGTGAAAAAGTAATGTATTGCTGTCTGTTATTCCTGATGATTTCGGAGGTATTTGGCAACAGAAGGGACCCACAAGGATCATCCAGTCCAGCTCCTGGCCATGCCCAGGACACCCCAACAATCCGCCGTGTGCCTGGCAGTGTTGTCCAAACACTCCTCGAGTTCTTTCAGCCCTGGGGCTGTGACCACTGCCCTGGGGAGCCATAAATTCATATGTATTACCTCCCTGCTTAATCAGGAACATCGAGCTATGTTGAAATCCCATTCCTTGCAGGGAAGTGGGAGTGAAAGCACAACACAGACTTGAACTTCCCCCTCTTTGCCCTCCCAGCCTCACTGCTGGGTTCACCACCGTGTCCAGCCAGTTCTCCTTCCCTCACTCTGTGACCTTCCCCAGGTCACCTGATCCCTACAGTGCATTTTCATGCCCTTTCTGTGATCCAGGGATAATACATTCCACTGGAAAACATTCTGGACATGAAAAATTAAATAAAGTGGAGCTACATTATTGCTGTCGAGTAAAATCTTTCCTTTCCCAGCTCAGCGGTTGCCTAATCCTGTCAGTGCCACTTGGAGAACTGCCCCTTCTCCATCACTTTTAACCCTCACAGCACTTTTTGACCAGATCTTTGGTCCCGTGTCAGAACATTCGTGGTGCTCACGGTGCTTCACTGGAGTCCGGGAACCGGCTTTTTGGGGATCTGGCTTTTAAGGGTTCCTCCGCCACCCGTGGGGACAGAGCTGTGTCACAGGGAGCGAGACCCTGGCCACAGCGTGTCCCCTCCGCGTGAACTGGCAGAAACAGGCGTGCATTTTGTGCAGAAATCACCGCGTTACTGTGCCCCTACACCAACATCTGCGCCCCCAAAACCCACCGTGTCTGCAGGCAGGGACGGGCATGGGGGCAGAGGAGGGGACATCAGGGAGAGGGTCCGCGGCAAGCGAGGGGGAAATAGAGGATCCCCGAGAGCGAAAGGGAGGGAAACTGAGGCCGGGGGGAAGGGGAAGGGGAAGGGGAAGGGGAAGGGGAAGGGGAAGGGGAGGGCTCGGGGCCGGGGCAGCCTTAAAGCGGGCGGGCTGCGCGGAGCCGCCGCGCTGTCACAGCCGCTTGTGCCGCTTTAAGGCGGTGCCGGCGCTCCGGGCTCGGCCCAGCGCCGGGAAGAGGAACTGGGCTTTGCACTGCCGGGTCGGGGCGAGCTCAGCGCCGGGCACCGCCGGGCACCGGCACCGGTCCCCCCCCTCACCCAGCCGCCCGCTCCGCGCTCGCTGCCAGGGAGGGATGGGGCGGGGAGGGGGAGGACGCGCCGGGCGCCAGGACGGGCCTTTGCATCCCCCCCGCACCCCGCTGCAGCCCCTCTGCTGCTCCCCCTCGCATCCCCCCCTCCGCTCCTTGCTTCTGCTGCAGAGGGATGTGCTTGCCGCGGCTGCCTGCTGGCGCGGTGCCTGCTTGAAATAAAGGCCCCCCCCCC